TGATGACCAAGGCCTTCCGCGCAAGACATGCCCGCCGCAGTGCTGACAGTGAATCCACTGAGGTTTATGACTTTGATGACACTGACTTAGGCACGGGGGAAGAAGCGGACAACTCTGACAATCTCGAACAAGTTGCCAAGAACAACACCAACAACACTCCCGAAGTTGATGCACGTGGCGGGAGCGCACGCTTTGGATGCTTGAGGCGAAAGAGACCATTTGAATTGATTGACGATTGATTGAGCCAAAGAGCACAACTTCCTTGTGCCTGTTGAACATCCTTTCTTGTCCTTTCTTTCTATATGGCCGCAAAGCGGATCTCTCCGCTTCCTTGCAACCTAATTCAAAACTTGGATGTGATTTTGATACTGTCAATTGAATTGTATTAATTATAATATGTTTGTTTCTTTGATCTATAGTCTGTAATTAATATTTGTTGATATGGAACTTAGATGCTGGAAGCACAACAACTTAGATGCCTGGGGTGCGACATTGCTGTAATTTGAGAAAAGGATAAACTAGAGCAGAACCATGTGGCCAAGAGTACGAGCCCGCATCCTGATCCGAATCGTTTGCTGTCAGCGTTCCTGGTATTCCAAACGCCAGTGACTACTTTATGCAGAGTCTTACTTCTGACCACTTCAGAGTGACAAATCAAACTGCAATTCCTCTGCCGTGTCCAGTTTCAAGTGTTTCTGCGTATTGTCCACAACGCATTGATTTTGCCTTTTCGGCAGCTGCCTAACCCATCGCTTCAGCCCCTGCTGCTGATCCAATGGCAACTGCCCTTGCTGATGGCTCAACACTTGTGCGCGCTGAGAAGAAAGACAAAGACTGGCAAGGACTGGATCTTAGTGCAATTTGCTGGGTTTCTTCTGTAGCCTTTGGAAACATTGCGCCCATGCATCTCTTGGAGGAACGAGGACAATGACAAAGGGCGATTCGACAATGGACAATGAGCGCGATGAGTGTGCAAAGTGTACACGGATCAGGCAGGGGATTTGTGTTGTGACTAGACGGAACGATGTGGATTTCGGCCACGAAGAATAACTTTGATGCAAATTAAAAATTAGGTTTTAAACCATGATGCTTTACAGGACAGCGTGCTTTCCGGGCACGAGCCGCACAAATCTTCAGACAATGCTGGCAGGATCTGAGGCCTGGGTTCGATTTGTTCTCAACTTTGATTGAAGAGGCACTATTCAGACCATTCATGAATTTTGATTTTGCTTACTTATTGCTTCGTTTCCAAGGCTTTCGTGCGACCAAAGTGTTTGACCCTCTTCTTTGTGTCGCAGGCGGAACTCCAAGAAGCTTTTGAAGCTGCCCGTGGAGATGGAGTACGCAGCTTGGGGCGACCAAAGTTCCAGAAGCTTGAGCTGAAAAAGACCTTTGAGACAAAATGATGAGATGTATCAGGACGGCGTTTTTGCACCCCAAACAGTACGCAAACGTAACTGTAATAGTAATTTAGTAATAGACATAGACATAGACGTGACATAACTTAGCAGCATAGCATAACTATCTTATAACTTAACGTCCAGCAAACCTTTGTGACCCAGGCCAGGTTAGTCGATGCATTTGGTAAAGTGTATCGGTATATACGGTATATATAAATATATATATTTCATCCACCGCTTTGTTTTGGTTTGGGTGTACTTTTTTTGGATTGTTTTCTGCATTGATTGGATGCAGGCGACGCAGAGCACTGCCAAGATTGTGCAGTATCAAGGTGTCCCTGGGGTGCTCATTCTTGACAGCGAACCTGGACACCATAGAGTACAAGTGGGATTTTCGTGTTTTGCTGTAAACAGTTTGTGTTGCTGGAAGCACACTATTCCGCAGCCACTGATGCCTGGGGTGTGACATTGCTGTTTTCTTGAGAAGAACCATTTGGCCAAGAGTAAGAGACCACATCCTAATCCGAAGCGTTTGCTGTCAGCGTTCCTTGTATTCGAGGCGCCAGTGACTACTTTATGCAGAGTCTTACTTCTGACCACTTCAGAGTGACAAATCAAACTGCAATTCCTTTTGCTGTGTCCAGTTTCAAGTGTTTCTGCGCATTGTCCACAAAGCATTGATTTTGCCTTTTCGGCAGCTGCCTAGGGCATAGGCGCAATACACAATAGGCACGGCATAGGCTATGGGCCATGGGCATAGAGAGGCTATAGTATAGGCTAGGCTTTTATAGGTATTTACTAACTATGACTCTAAGATTCGTTCTAGACTATGACGGTATACTACTAATTACTAATTACTAATTATACTAACTGTCTCTCGTTTGCCGCTGAAGGGGTTCGAATCTCATTGTTCTGGCCGAATGCTTTGGGCTTCGAGTAATTGACTTGTTTTTCAGTGAAGCTGCCGCCTCTTGAAGTCCTTGGAATGGCTTCAGCCGCTGCTGCTGAACCCACCTGTGCCTTGTGTAGGCAAGGCCCAAGCGACCTGGAGAAAGACCTGGATGATGACTCAACACATGTGCACTGGGAGAAGAAAGGCAAAGATTCGCAAGGACTGGGTTTTGATAAAGATTTGCTAGTTTTTCTTTGGTAGCAGCCACCACTAAACCAATTGGGAACGTTGCCAGGCTGCACACTTCTTCATGACTATGACTCTGACTCTAACTTTTATTCATGACTCATGACTATTATATTATTAATTATTATAATATAATATATATGTATATTATATAGACTAGACTCTATATACTATTACTTATCATCTCCTCTTGCAGGAAAGCGGACAGTGCCAGAAGGCAACGAGTGCACAAAGTGTACACGGGTCAGGCAGGGGATTTGTCTTGTGACCAGACGGAACGATGTTGATTTCGGCCACGAAAAAACACTTTGATGCAAATTGAAAATTAGTTTTAAACCATGATGACTTTTGTTCGAACTTTACAGGACAGCGTGCTTTCCGGGCACGAGCCTCAAAAAGCTTCAGGCCATGCTGGCAGGATCTGAGGCCTGGGTTCAAGTTGTTCTCAACTTTGATTGAAACAGTAACAGGGCGTTCAGGATTTGGAGGCACCATTCAGACCATTCACGAATTTCGATTTTGCTTACTGCCATTGCTTCGTTTCCAAGGCTTCTGTGCGACCAAAGTGTTTGACCCTCGTGTGTGTCGCAGGATTTACAAGAAGTTTTTGATACGGCTCGTCGAGATGCAGTACGCAGCTTGGGGCGACCAAAGTACCAGAAGGTTGAGCTGAAAACCTTTGAGAAAAAAGAAGACTTCATTCAGATGTATCAGGATGGCGTTTTTGCGGCTCGTCCATGTTAAGCCGCAAACGTAATAAATTGACAAATTCAACAAATCAATATAATAATATGAATATAGATAGGACTGGACAGTCAGCCAGTAAACTATAGACACAACAACAATTTGTGAGCGGGAATGCGACATGACATGTGTGCAGCTTGCATCAAAGCCTCTGTTTTGATGCGTCTCGCACAAAGGTGGAGATTCGCGCGTTCTTGAAGGAAAAGAATGCCCCCAAGCATGTGTTTGACGCTTCAACTGACATCCAGCAGGCCTTTGTGACCCAGGCCAGGTTAGTCGATGCACGCTGAGAAAAAACAAAACAATTTGGCAATTTGGTATAGGGTGTCCAAACAAAACCGCAAAGGTGTGGTATACATGCTCCATTTTCATCCACCGCTTTGTTTTTGGTTTGGGCGTACTGTTTTGGATGCAGGCGACACAGGGCACTGCCAAGATTGTGCAGCATCAAGGTATCTCTGGGGTGCTAATTCTTGACGGCAAACCTGGACACCATAGAGTACGAGTGGGATCTTCGTGTTCTGCTGGCAAGATTCGTGTTCCTTTCTTAGTTGTTGAGAAACACTTTGCTAGAGAAGCTTGTGTAACTCGAAAAACATTGTGGGTCGTTCAAGCCGATTCAATCACGATGGAAAAACAGGCATGGGGACATGTCCAATTTCTGGACCGATATAGTCCGAGGAAAAAGAGCACGATACCGGGCTGGAGGCAGTACAGGCAATGGAAAACTCTTTTCAAAGACAAGCGATTGCCAGCGCCAGAGATGCAGCTGCAATGCGTGAACATCTGAGCGGTATCGCTGAATCCGCTGACGGCGAAGGCGAAGACGAAAGTGGCAATGCCGAGGTTGATGACATGTTTGTGGACAGCATTGCAGCTGTTGGTGTCGCCGCCGCTCCTAACACATCCCGACGGAGGGCGATCCAAGACAGAAACTCAGAGGACATGTTGTTGGGAAAAGGATGCATTCGGACATTCAGTCATGTTTCGATTTCAATCGAGAAAAAAACTTATCTCGGGCTTGGCCTTGCCAACTTCAGTAGCTGATTTTCAAAACGGCAATGAGTCATAGAGTCTGAGTCATAGTCTTAGTCTTAGTCATAGACTCATAGACTATAGAGTCATAGACGCAGCGTAGACTTACAAATGATACAAATACAGTACAGTATAGTGTATACCACCGACACAAGACGTTACCATACTGTATACTCGACTCTTTCTTTTTGTTTCGTGCAAAGCAGGATCATCACCCGAACAAGAGAACCAAAGCTTCTGCACCGACGCCGACGCCGATGTCGCAAGAAGAGAGGCAGCCAGCAGGAGGCCTGAACGGGCTTGACAAGGAGGAGCCTATGCCACCACCACCACCTCCGAAGAGGCCTCAAGGTGAATCCAAGAAGGATGAAAACGTCGTCAACAAGGCCAGAGAGGTCTTCGACAAAATGGTTGCGATGTGGAAGCCAGACAAGATTTGGAATCAGCCACCTCGAAGAAGGACTGGGTTTTAGACCATGGTAAAAAGTCTAAAGTTTGTTGCAAAGTCATGGACCCTAAATATTGAAATATTAAATATGTAATACTTTATGATATACAAATACAGTAATACGTAATACAAACAGCTACCCGTGAACACAGAGTTAGTAAGCCGTGTTATATATTGCCTTCATTTGTTGTCATTGTACTATATTTGCTTGCAGGAACTTCGATTCTTTGGCAAGTTCCATTTCCCAGCACAGCGGTAAATTGGCAGCAACGCAACATCCCGAAGCCCATGGCCTTTCTCAAAGCATGTGGGCCGAATTCAACAGGATCGAGGGCTTGATGAAGGTGTTCGACAAGATCAAGCAGGGACAATGACAAATTCGGACAAATAGTCTCGAAGGTGTTGAATTTGACATGATATCAACAATAGAATAGATAAATGATAAATGATTCAGTAAACCTTCAAATAGTCTTTGCTCAGAGGCCATTCCCACCTACATCGTTCAATCACCTCAAGGCCTCGAGGTTTAAAAAAAAGATCTGCACATTGCCACTGTTTTGCATGTGCGGCGAGGAACTCTCTATCCATTGTCTTGCTCACTGCTTTTGAAAAGGACGAATCTGATTTGCTCGCGAGTCTGGACCAGTCCTTGGTCAGTACGATCCTGCTGAAGGCTGGTGCTGAGTTGGTCAAAGATTTCATGCAGGAAGCACCAGACTGCCGCAACGATGCTGACCAGGAAGATCCCGTTTCATTGCTGTTTGCATTGGCCAGTCTTGAGAGCAAGAATGCGTTCAATACGTCTCTTCTTCGTTCCAAGAAGGATGCTCAGGTGGCCATCAATGTTCAGAATCAACTCATCTCCATGCTCATTGAGAAATGCCTCCGCCAGAAGGATTCTGCCGAGATTGGACCCATGGATTTGTTGAAGCGTGCTCTGGCAGAGACAGCGTGCAGTGTGAAGTCCTTGCAGGATGTGAGGTTTGAGAAGGAATCGATGAATAACGTGCAAGACGACTGCTGGTCAATGGTCCTTGCGTGCGACATTACGTTTTTGCGTTGTGGTCTGCAAGCCTTGGAGGCAGAGAAAGATCAGCAAGAGTCAGGAAACTCTTTTCCACCACAGCTTTGTTCTAGAGCTGCAGGGCTTCTCAAGTGTCAGCAACTCCTGTCAGCCAAATTGCAAACTATTCTGATTCCAACATGTGCGCTCAAGAAATGTTTTTATTTTATTTTAAAAAATTGTTATATCTCATCAGTCAGTCCTTTGGGATACGATAGGAGGCTGCGGCTAGGAGGTGACAGTTTAGTTTGAGATTGAAGTTCAAAGTTTGAACTTTGAAATAATATATTATATACTGTATATACTGTATACTGTATACTTGTGGGATTGGTTTTGGTTAAGCTCCAAGGAAATCTACACCGCTGGGAAAGCAGCTCACGAAGGCCCTCAACGTGGTTGCAGAGGAAGCCGTGTCCCACACTGATACTCTGTCCAAGCTGAAAGGATTCCTACCGTTTGTGAAGGAGCATGAGAATTGGCTTCCCAGTTCTGTGGATCCACCGTGCCCTTATTGCATTGTGTTTTCGTTTGCTGCCTGTATGTACTGTATGAGACTGTGACAGGGTTTGAGATGATATGTTATGTTGTGTTTAAATAATTCAATCGTCAATTTCAATCAAGTTGAATAGTTCAGTTCAGTCTTTAACCTGCAAGGCCATGCCACACGGACACTGTTCAACGACTCTACAAGCTGTGCAGTGTGGACGGGGCTCGGGTGAGAGAAGTGTGCCGCACGATGGACACATGGCGCATGCTGGAAAAGGAGCTTCATTCAGGCGGCCCTGTCCCTGGTGCGGATGAAATTGAACCGATCGTCACCTTTTGCCGTGAGGTGGGAGACAAGCTGATCAAGTTTTCAAGCGAAATTTGTGTGATGATCCAGCTCAGCATTAAATCAGTGCTGAAAACCGGCGAGAAGGACTTCAATGAGACGCATCGGGAACTGATGGTCAACTTGAAGGAGGTCATGCTTCTCTACGTGTGGGTGAAGGCGTGGCATTTCTGACTAAAGAGAACAATTACTGAACAACTAACTAGAAGAATGTGTTCCTTGGAAATATTTGGGAATTGTTAAGTTATTATGATAAAGATAAATTATGATTCCTTCTCGTCTCTAAGTACTGACTTGTTTTGTGATTGGGCCAAGCAGGTGCTGCCAGCTCAGATACACAGGCAGTTGGATCAGCTTCAAGTGCTTGCGCAAGATGCCGTGAACCTTCGAGAGACCATCAAGGCCTTCGAGCAGAACCCAAAGGATGAAGAGTTTATCTCGGTCCTGAAACCCTGGTCCAAGCTCAAGAAGGCGATGCCAGCAACATTGAAGAGCTTGACTGGTTCCATTGAATCTTGTTACTCCATTTGCTGCGGCTGCCATTGTTTTGGGGTGGGAGGAGTCAAAGAAACAACACATCAGTGTGTATACAATGTTAATATTTTTGTCTTATATAAATATTTAAATATATGAATGGATACCGGATACGGATGCGGGGAATACAAAGACCGACCCGAAATTGTTTTACTTAATTAATCGCATCTTTTTGCATTCAAAGCAGTTTGCAAATGGCACATATAGTCTGCAAACCTTGTGCGCAAAGTCCTATTGGCCTAGCCTATTGGACTACAATTTCAACGGATCCATTTATCAGCTAGGCAATAGTAACCCTGACTGAGGACAAGCGGCCCAAGTGCGAACCGTTTGTGCAGGTGCTTCAGGCCTTCAATTCTTTGGAGGCGGACATTCAGGCACGAGAGAAGACTTGGTGCAAGAAGGTGCCCCTGTCAGAACCCCCTCGTGCTGTGACAACCTTGCTGTCAAAAGAGGCGGGCGCGGGCGCAAACTACTTTTTGACGGTCTTTCCAAGAATGCGTTGAAGTGACCGCAGTGTGCTGTTCATGAGGTTTCAGCGATTTCGGCTGTGTTGAAGGTCGTCAATCTCTTCATTCATTCTTTGTAATGTCAGAAGGTACGGTATTTCAGTGAGGTCGGCCTGAATGTGTTGTGATACCGTGATACTCCACTGCAGTTCACAACTGGTCAATTCATTTTGCAACCTCTCCCATGCTTGTAGAGCAGCTGGTTTTCACAAACAGTTTGGGCAGGCGATGGGATTGTTACGGCTGCGAGAGTTGCACAGCAGTCTCCAGCCCGACAGCAAGCTGCTTGCCAACTCCACGTGGAAGGACAATGCAGAGCTCATGCTGGAGGCGTGTACTGCTTTGATGGATGCAAGCCAAGCGACGGGGTGGTCTGAATTGGGTTTGGCGCCGGTCGATGACAGCGTCGCCAGCATGCACAAGATCCTTCAAACGACGTTCACTGATATCAAACCTCTATCGTCGACCTGAAGCAGTCTGTGGCTGCGAAAAGGGATGGATTGAATATGGTGAACATCACTCCGCAGTTCCATGCGGACACTTGGGATTTAGAGCCTTTCAAGGCGTTGGCTAACAAGTTCATAAACGAGGAGTTGGATGCCCCGGGCGCTCTCAAAGACATGACGGACAGTGACTTGCATCTCAATCGATCAATTTCTGAATTTCCAATCTCTGTGTGTGGTTCTGCGTGCATAACTTGGCCCAAGGGGTTGTGCTTTTGAGGGTCAATTCGTCACCGAAACTTGTTCATGTTCTGGGTCATAGTCGAGTCATAGTCTCATATTCTGTCATAATATAATATAATATAACAATATATAATCAAAATCTATACAGTAAGTAGTCTAAGACTCTGACTCTATAGTTAGTCTATATGATTAAAACTGGTAAGGTGTGCGGCTCTTGAACGGCTACGAGAAAACCGTGCAGGGCTTGGAACCGTTCAAATCAATGATGCACCCGGAGGAGAAAGACTTGCTGAGCAACTTGCAAGGAGAGCTTTCCAAGGATCCAACGACTGAATCCTTTGCCCTTTGCCTTTTCGTGTTCTGCGCTTCTGACCTATGCACTGCAACCGTGACCAAAAAGACGGCAAAGGAAGTCGCTCTTTTGTACAAAGATTGTGCAGAGTGGGGCTTGAAACGGGAAACTATCCCAGAGATTGTAAAGAATCACCTTGCAGCATTGGTCAAGGCTTCCAACAAGGAAGCACGGAGCAAGCAGCAGTAGCAGAATTCTTAGTTTTGATTTTGATGATGCGAGCAGTACAAGCAGCACCACCGTGGTCCAATGCAGCTGTTTGAAATGAGTTCGTTTAGAAGCATGTGTGCGTGGTGCTCGCAGATCGACTTGGGTGTGCTGCTAGCACTCTAGCCCAAGTAGACACTTTTGTGGGTGGTTCTCATGAGCCGTGGGGTCTTCAATCACGTGAAACCGATCTCTGACTTCTGACCTGCCTATACCCTAAGCCCTATAGCCTATAGCCTAGTGCAATTGAAATTGTCTGACTCGTTCAATGTCCACTTGGTTCTGTTTATGAGGAATAAAGAGGTCGCTAGACTCACGTGCAGGGATTTCTCTTCAGCAAGGCGTGCTGAGGCGTACAAAATTTGGCCGGCGTAACATCTTTTTGCACCAGGCCTCCAAACACCACGCGACAATCGAATCCACTTGTCACCTGGCATTCAGACAGAATTATTGACTGCGCGATTCCTTCACTCATTCTAATTCTCATGGACTTGGGTGGTTTGCAGGACTCAAACTTGTCTTTGCCTGGGAAGAGGCGCAAGTTGGAAAAGCAAGACTCGGAGGCCAAAGGGGCCTTGACTGCCAAGACAGCGAGCGCTCATGAGGCAGCGCGCAAGGAGTTGGGTATGCACGCCAATGATCACGCGCAACTTGGGTTTCCACTTTATTTTGTTGTGCCAGATCAGCGAGTCAATTGCACCAGAATCAAGTGTCCATGCGCCAGTTGCCACTTTGTTTTGCTTGCAGCTTGCTGCAGTGGCACAAATTGTGCGAATCAGGTATACCGAGAAGGCTGCAAAGGCTCGTGGTCCTGCTTGGAAGGTAGACATCAACCCCGCACGGGAACAGGTGCTGGACATTGCTTGGCGGAAGGCTGAAGCCCCTTGGAGCATGCCACATCAAACGTCAAAACCAACAGTTTCAAGTTTCAAGTACAGTATGGGTGAGTCTGTCGTGGATCCAGTCTAATTATATTTATTAATATATTGTTTGAGCAAATATACTGTACTTTATGTTTCAAAGAATCCAGTAATACCGTGTTGAGGCAAAAGGGATGGACACCTCACAGTTGATGGCTGACATCGTCAAGAGCATCCACCGGATGCCTTTGAAGGACAACGGCAGTATCCCGACGCTACTTGGATCACGTCGGACTTTTGCTAGTAGATTAGCTTTGGACCATTTTGGACCCGTGAGTAAAAACGAGTGATGATGAACGATGCGGGTTTGAATTTGAATGCATCAGCTTATGTGTTCTGTATATTTCCAGAAACTGGAATTCAAGCACAGCATTTGTGAATTACTCATGACTCATGATCAATCTATCCTGAAATTCTTGAGGTTGACGACCAACTCACTCATTTGGAGTTTCAGGCGGCGCCGGGTATTGAACGCTGCGGACATGCTGGGGTGTCATGGATTTCCTCTCCATCGAATGGATTGGGGAAGAGTGGCGAGGATGGTTTCAGTCACCGCGTGGAACAAGTTTGCCGGGAACACGATGTCGGTGCCGGTGGTAGGATCAGTACTCTTGGCTGTTGCTCGGATAAATGATGGTGTTGTGATTTGCTTAGCAGATTTCAGTAGTTAAGTGATGCTGTGCGCTTGCTTTGGTGATTTTTGCGGGCACTGCTTACCCAATGATTCAATTTTGAAACAGGCGAATCCACCCGGTTGCATGTTCCTTTTTGTTTTTGTTGTGCTGTGTGTGTGTGTGCTTGTTTGCTTTTTTGGTTGCAGCGGCATGTGTTGTGCTTGAGGTTCTGGCCTACGGCAACCTGAAGGCCTGCTGGCCTGCTGCAACACCTCTGACGGACCCTTTGACTGATACGAATGTCATTTCTGCTGAGGCATCATCAGATGATGACTCACCCTCTGTATCTTGAGGTGCAAAAGTAGGCCCGAGAGGCGCGTTCCTTTCATGAGACAGCCTGCTTGGACCACTGAGATCGATGAAGAAAGATGGGAAAAGTGCGGCTCAGTGTATGGCACGGAGCGTGTCCAGATTGGAAATGTGACATGGAAAACTAGCGGCCGGTACTGCGGCAAACCTGACTTAAACGCTTTTTTTTCATGATTGAAGCCAGGGTTGACGCACACCCCGCCGCATACCCGACCACGTGTTTTTCACTTTTAGCGCACACCCCGCCGCACACCCCGCCGCATACCCGACCACAGTCTCCGCACCCCACTTTTGCAGTTTTGCGATGCGTACCTTCGACGGGAATAGTTAATCTCAATGTAGTACTTGAGGTTTTTGTGACTTCGACTGGGTCCAAATTCCACCTTGACCGTCAATGCCAATACTTGCGAGGCAAGAAAGTCACCTCTTTTGGTTTGTGTAGCTGCTGTGAGCGCAAGCGCTTACTGGAACAGCGAGTGACCACTGTCCAAAGTGGCATGTGAGCTTCGAAAGGGGGTGTGAGAATTTATAGTACTGAGGAGCGAAGACTCCATACCACTTGTTTAGAGACCGCAAAGAAAGCCATAGAGAGTTTTTGGCTTGTTTGAATGACGTTCGTTAGCTTTTGAGGACATTGAAAGATCCCTTTCAATGTTTCCCTATGCTTGTAGTTTGTGTATGAGGTGTCCGAGAACACCCGAAGATGTTTAGACTATGCTCTTAGTTGTTTCCAACTGTTTTTAGAACCTTTGTGAAGCGTAGAACTGTTTTGAGTATGGTTTTGCATGTCCACAAATGTCCCGAGAACATTTGTGAACCTTGGAGAACGTTCGTCACTTTGGATCGACCGAATCGTACAGGCAGAACATAACGCGTTTCTGATGTGCGACAATTTTGAAAAACCACCTTGGGTGGAGCTGCTTCCCACAGAAGGACCAGATTCGGACGCCTTCGACGAGGAG